CAGTACAACAACTGTAAACATGACGATCATCATGGCCAGGGTAAGCCATGCAATTGATCGTCCGACAAACTCCGTCAGGGCATCAATTTTGTTGATAACCTGACTCAGAGTCCCGGAGCCCTTGGTCATGGTAAACCTCATTTTTATTAGTTATTCAGATGTCCGGTCCGCCTCTGGTCAGAAGGTCGCCGGAACACTCAGATCAGTTCAGCCGCTACGCTTCCAGCAGGAAAAACGTAAATATGGTTGAACGGCTGAACTAATCATACTTTTGTCACTAACAGGAGAAAAGTTTCGACGGGGTAATGAGACACAAAAAAACCGGCAAAGTTGCCGGTTTCTGTTACCTATCGGATCTCAATCCGTAGTACTACGCAGAAAGCAGACTGTTTGTGAACCAATCTGCTGTTCAGGTTCTCATGCTTTTACTGAGTCTGACGCTCTTTCTCAATCAGGAATTCAGCAATTTTCAGCATATTCGGCCAGCTACCCGCCATGCCAGTATCGATACGGTATTTACCATTAATCACCATACCTGGCACACCTAACGCCTGATAACCTCTCAGACGGGCACCTGCCTGCTGTACTTTTGATTTCACACCGAAAGATTTCAATGCTTTTTTCGCCTGCGCTTCTGTTACACCATACTCAGCAAAGAACTTTGCAATAGAGTTCTCGTCTGCCAGACGCTGGTTCTGCTGGTGAATACGGTTAAAGAAGTCAGCATGCAGTTTTTCGCCAATACCCAGTGCTTCTGCCGCGTAAAAAGCTGAGGCATGAGTTTTCCACAGTTTGCTGAAAGTACCTGGTACACGCTCAAAACGTACATCATCAGGCAGGGTTTTAATCCAGGGCTCAATATAAGGTTCAAAGTCATAGCAGTGAGGGCAGCCGTACCAGAACAGTTCAGCGACCTCAATTTTTCCTGGCTGAGACACCGCAACCGGCGTCGCCAGGCGGATATAGTCCTTACCTTCAACAAAATCAGCAGCCATAGCCAGTGAACTGAATACCGTC